CTGACCGAGTGGTCATTCAGTAAATAAACTATGGAGAGTTGATTGAAACCCAAATTTTTCTTATTCTGAAGCTGTGTTTTTCAAGCATTAATGTATCTCAGAATTTCCTGAAGGGCTCATCAAAATATAGGCTGCTGGTCCTACCCAGATTTCCTGGTTCAGTAGTTCTGGGCTGGGGCCTGGGTATTTGCATTTCTAATAAGTTCTCAACTGCTGCTGCTGTTGCTTCCATTGCAGGTCCAGGGACCATACTTTGAGACCCAATACCTGTTAGCAGTGTTTCTTAACCATAGGTGCATGTGTAAGAGATCACCTGAGACCTATAAATTATTGATGAAACCAAAGTCTCTGATCATGTGGTTTAAGTATTACCTTTTTGTTTGTTTGTTTGTTTTGTTTTAAGCCCTCCAGGTGATTCTGTTGTGCAGCCAGCGTAGACTGCAGATTTTCGTTAGACCTGGGTACCGAGCAGAGCAGTGGCTTTGAGCACATTCTGGGTGCTTGGTGAGGCAAGGCCACAGTATTGTTTTTGTCCTGTGATGATTGAAAACAATTACTCCAGCCTAGAATCCTTTTATTACTTTAACTCCTCATTATTTGTGTCTATTGCTTGTGTTTCTCCATCCAGTTACATGCTCCTTATGTCTTGAATACATTCATCTATCTGTATTTTTTGTTACTATTTGGTGGAAGGAACAATTTAACAACAGTTGACTTGAAGTACAAAGTAAATAAAGGAATGTATCTAATTAAAAAAATCACTTTAGGAGCCTACTGGACTTTTAGAATTCTAAATTTGCTCTTTATGAGATGTTGTTGGAAACCTTATGTTTTTAGTTTAGGGTACCCAGTTATTGGTTAGAACAGATTATGATAGCTGGTACCCAGGAGTACATTAAAAAATGCAGCAGATTAAGTGGTAACATTTCAGTCATTTCTTCTTTTACTTGGTTTGGTTGATAAATGTATACAAAAAAAGGCATCCATTATTGGATAAGAATGGGCAAAATACCACATGATTTCGTTAACCTTGAAGCAATGAAATTATAAATCCCTGTGCAAATGATGAAGGTTATCATTGTCTATCACTCCTTTTTGATACCTACAGACTGTTAATTCTTCTCTGTCCTGCTGAGTCTTATTAAAACTTTTGACTGATGTACTTTTATTTGGAATTTACCAATTTAAAACACTTGCTTCACACCCTCACCTCTAATTTAACTAGGCCATTAAACATAGTATTTTGCAAAGGGAAAAAGTCAATAGCTGTTTCTTTAAAAATATAGTAAATTGAAATGAATTTAAAAACTCTGCTTAGAGGTGAGCAACTGCTATATACTACTAGGTCTTTTGATAGTTGATTTGTTCCTTTAGTATGCAAATTTTAGGTTTACAAAGATCTACAGCTTTTATTTAAGAAATATGCCTGGAGGCTAGATTGGTAAGCTTTAGGGAGAAGTCTAGTTTGGTGTGAAATAAATAGTTGTTAAAGGATTGCAAGAATTGGGTCCCAGAACATGAAGAGTAGAGCTGAGACAGATTGAGAAAAACTGTATTTTCATTTTATTTGGCTAAAAATACCACTAAATTAAAAATGGAGACAGTGAATGATGGCAACACAAAACAAATTCATGTGAATAAGCCTTTTTGGGGAGTAGATTTTGTGAAAAGTTCTGACTTGTTAGAAGTTTAAGGGAAAGGGTTTACTACATCCCTGACAGTTTTACAGCTTTGGGTGGAAGACCCTCTCTTGACCAGAAGGAAGGAATAGGTCACTCTGCTGCCCAGTGAAGTCTACAGCATCACTTCTGGTCAGTGAGATGACAGATATCATAGAATCTGCTCACAGTCAAAAGAAAAGGACTCAGGTTACTTTCTTAGATTGGATGCTGTAGGTTAAGCAAATAGTGTAAATAGATTTCTAGCTTTGGGGAAACTTTGCATCACTGATCTTTTGAAATCTCTGACATGTTTTTTTCTCAAACAACTTAAAAAAAACTTAACAAAATATATTTCTCGGTTGATAGCTTATAGAATCCTTTCTACTTTTTTTTAAAAGTGTGTCTGTCTTTCTAGATGTTTTTAAGCAATTAGGCTCTCAGAGATAGACTATTTGAACAGCATTATCTACCAATTGAAAGGGCTTCTGTGTGTAAATGTTTGTTGTGTATCTCTGCTGGTGGACAGTGAGTTCCAGAGGGCAGGGGTGATGATAGTGTGTGAAGGTGGAATGCTAGTATCCTTCACTGAGGCTAAAGTCCTAGGTCCTCCACCAGTCGGGATCACGCTATGCATGTCTTTACATATAAATAGATTTCCATACCTTTTCCTACTCAGTATTGTTTTATTTATTTTTGTTTTTGAACTTAAAGATTATTTTTACAACTTTTGAATTATCACTGTGTTTACCGGGTTCAGGCTTGCCTGGTGGCTCAGACGGTAAAGAGTCTGCCTGGAATGCCGGAGACCCAGGTTCAATCCCTGGGTCAAGAAGATCCCCTGGAGAAGGAAATGGCAACCCACTCCAGTGTTCTTGCCTGGAAAATCCCGTGGATGGAGTTGCCTGGTGGGCTACCATCCATGGGGTCACGAAGGGTCGGACACAACTGAGTGACTTGCACATTACTGGGTTCAAATTGAAAAAGTATGATTTCAAAGGTTAGGCCCAACACTCATGTTCTTTCTACACATGTAACCAGTGTCGGACTTTCCAGGTGGCTCAGTGGTAAAGAATCGGCCTGCCGGTCCAGGAGACACAGGAGACAGGGGTTTGATCCCTCGGTCGGGAAGATCCCCTGGAGTAGGAAATAGCAACCCACTCCAGGATTCTTGCCTGGAAAATTACATGGATAGAGGAGCCTGGAGGGTAACAGTTCATGGGATTGCAAAGAGTTGGACAGCACTGAGCCGCTAAGCACACACCAGCGTTACTGTCCCCGTGCATCCTTATGCAGGGTTTGAATAGATGGTGGTTCCGTATGAAATATGAAGGGTATGAAATACTCAGTGTCCTCAGCCAGGTTTTCGGGAGTGCTGTTCTGTACCTGTTCTCAATCCTCTCTCTGAAGACTGAGCGTGTGTCATGAAATCCTAACTAGTCTAGTGTGGATTTTGATTTTGGAGACAGTGAAGTTGTGATTCTTTGTCTTCCTGAACAACTCTCCTGACCTCATCTCTGAAGTGAAGAGGTCTGACTAGCTGTCCTCACAGTCCCTTCCCTGCCTCAGTTCTCTATGTCTCTGACTAACTTTGAGGATTGAACATCTCTGTGGTATACTAGATAGATGCAGGCCATTTTCATATGCCTCGGTCACATGGTTTTGCTTCATAGCAGGTGTCACACATTGAAATGGTATTGCTGATAGATTTGTCTCCCATCATCCTTCCTCTCTGCTCCAAAATTAAGCTCCAGCGGGGCAAGCTGTGCTTGTCTTATTCGCTGATGAATTCCCAGCACCGGATGGAGCCATGCTGAGAAATGCTCAGGAGGTGAATGTCTAAACACACTACTTAAAAATTTTATTTTTTATAACTTTTAATTGGAGGATAATTGATTTACAGTGTTGTGTTGTGGCTCCAATCACCCATGAGTATACCTGTATCCTGTCCCGCTTGCGCCTCCCTCCCACCCCTGTAGGTCGTCACAGAGCACCAGACTCAGCTTCCTGTGTTATATAGAGCAGCTTCTCACTGGTTATCTGTTTTACACATGGTAAAAAAACCTATTTTTTTTTTTTTGAGAGACTATATCACATAATTGTTATTTGAAATAAACCATCTTTAAAATAATTTTTTTTATGATGTTCACATATCATTTATTTTTTGGTCTTGCAGCCTGTGGACTCTTAGTTCCCTGACCAGGGATCAGACCTGCACCCACTACAGTAGAAATGCTGAGTCTTAACCACAGGACCACCAGGGAAGTCCCTGAAATAAGCCAGTTTTGAGGGTTTTTTCCCCTCTTCCCTTGATATATGTCTTCTCAGTGTTTGTTCATTATTGTCCTTGTTTTGGTGAGACCTCAGCTCCGGATCCTGTCTTGGCTGTGAATGCTTTCCCATCTTGTTCATAGTTGATGTATGGAAGGTTCTCTGACCTGTTTGTTTTTTCTGGTGTAGATTATTGTGACTCTGATTACTGTTTTGAACAATTCTTTTAGGAGGTGTGTTTGGCTCCTCCTGTGACTTTTGTGCTAGGTAAACTGTTGGGGAGTTCCTCTTTTTTGCTTGTCATGTAGGATTCTTTTGGGATGAGTTGCTGTGTTAGTTCTGACCTTGTCAGTATGTATATGTCTAAGGATTCTGATTTTAATACATACAGAAGATGCAAGTCAGAATATCCACCCTTGGGTGTATGGTGATACCGTTGTCTTCACTGTGCATGGCAGACAGAGTACATAGGGCTGTGTGAATTAAGTAACAGTTTAAACTTGATGTTATGCTCTTCCAGAAAGTAGTGTTCTTAAGGTGTTTACCCCAGATCTACAAGTGTCTGTACACCTCCACCATTTCCCTAGGGTGAAACCCCCAAACCTGGACTGATTATCCATATGCATTCCAACCTGTGTTTGAGATTTTAGACTATACTCAGCAGAGGTTCTTGACAGTTTTTTGGATTATAGACCTTTTTGCAAATCTCATGAACTATTGACCTTCTCCCTAAAGAGGAATACATTTACATAAACCCACACATTTTGCATATCTCATTCAGGAGTACATGACTCCTGAAGGCTGTCCATGTACCAAGGTTAAGGAGCTTTAATCTAATTACTTTTTTTTTTAAGTTATAATTAATTTGGGAAATCCTTGGAAAGACTGAAAAAAGCTCTTATTAATTAAGTCTCAGAATATTTTTCTTCTTAGAGGTTCTTCCATCTTGGGTTGTCCAAGAATCAGACTAGTAGATCATTCAAGTAAATTCTTGTCCAGGTAAGGATTCGGAATTCAGATTGGATTTAGTTTGAAGATACCAACTTTACTATGTCTTTTGTGATTTCACAGGTATCTCTGCATTAGCCAGGTTGGACAAATGTGAAGAGAGACATCACTGTATTTGGATCATCAGGTAAGCAAACAGGATTTCATTTTTATTTCTCCACCAATGAAGTCCTCTGGCACTATGTGGTCATTTCCTATTATCTACTCTTTCCTGCAGTGTGGGTCAATAAGATGATACATATTTCTTGGAAGAAAGAAAAATATCCTTTCTTACGGTTTATTTTATCTCATCATTATTTCATATATTCACACTTCTATAGTAGATAAAAATCCCTTGCTCTTCTTTTTATGTATATACTTTGGAGAATTGTGGACAACTCTTATATTTTTCCTTGGTTGTCAGCCAAGTTATACACATTTAATTCCTTAATCTTTCTTTGTAATTCAGTCAACTTGGCTGCTTTTTCCAGATTTCTGCCCATTTCATCTGCATCATTAATAAACAGAAAACACAGGCTATCGCCTGACTTCTATACCTTTCATTCTTTTTGCTTCCTGGTTTTGCCTCATATTCCTTGCTGAAATAAAGCCAACCAGACATCACTCTCTGGACCACTTTGGCAATACATGAATGCTTTGCCTACAACTATCAGTGTCCCATGCGGTAATAGCATCAGCAGTGTATCTCAGAGGAAAGAAAGGAAGTGCAAAAGGAGAACAGTGAGGAGCAAAATAATGCATTTTTTTTTTTTTTTTTTGGTTATATGGCATACTTACCCTTGCCACCCAGAACAAATCATTGTACCTGAAACCTTTGTCACAGGTTTTTTTGTCCTGAGGTATTGTGCATGGGCGCTAATTTACGTAAGAGAAGCATGTATATTGTTTGAAGTTTGACCACTGTTCTCTCGGTTTCTTCTTCATATCCTCCCTCCCCCGTTGCCTTTCCCAACACTTGATTGTGACTTGCTATCAGAATCTGTGGCCATGAACAAAACTGGGCAGGGGATCATTCTGTCAGAAATTAGATAGGCTCAGGTGGTAAATGCTCCATGCCTCCATGAGTAACATCTGAGGCAAGCGCTTTAGTTCTTGCTATTTCTGTAACAGCCGTTGGTCTTCTTTTTACAGCTGATTGAGTGGAGAAGTGCAGGAGGAAGGGACTCATAGGCCTTTGGTGCTATTCATCAATGCTGTATTAGTTTCACAACTTCTCTCCCCCCCGATTGGCAGTGAGAAGTATACTGCTTCTAGATGATGCTGAGCTTAGTGTAAAATATGCCAGCATGGGATCTGGGCTTGGCATAGTTCATTCTTTCTTTCCATTTGGTTTGTAGGAAATGGACCTCTACCTCTCCTTATCTTGTGCATTAGAGAGAAAAAGGTCATACCTCTAGGAGCTAATGGCTTATTGGTATTTTCAGTCTCCAGATTTAGGTAGTAGATTTAGTTTAAGCTTGCAGCAGCACACACTTAGCTTTCTCATTTGTGTTAGCTTTGCTTCTAGTACAGAATTGAATAGGATAGAAAAGACGGTTTTCCTGTTTGTGTCTGTGGCAACTTTGTAGATGATTTGTGGTTTAATTCTTTAAACATTTTTGATCATTTATCACCTCTTTCCCTATAAAGGCATAAAATACTCAGATTCTAATGTTATAATCTTTTAGTCAGATTATTTAATTTTGGAAAGCTCAAGGTCACAATAGCAGCTCACACAGTTGCCTCTGAAGAGTGACCTAAAATTTTTAATACTTATATCTGTTCTTTTTTTGGGTCAGATTTTATGGCCTTCCTTCATACCATCAGATTTTAAATAAGATTATGTGATGATGTATCAATCATGTACTTCTTGGTCTGTGGCCTCTTAAACAGGTAAATGTATGACTTGGACCCCTTTTAAGTCTGATTTCTTAAAATGTTAATCTCTCACATGGCTTTTAAACTGTCGACAATATTGTACTCACTCTAATTTCTTCAGGCAATTGATCCATTCTTCAGAATAACTTTTGTTTCTTGGGTCTTTTCAAGACCTGTCAAAGAAAACAAAATGCTAACCTGACTTTAAAGGGGCAAAAAAATTACCCCCCTCTGTCCTATATTATTCTTTGTTCTCTATGTGCATCAAAGTGACAATCCCACACTGTCTCAATTGAGGGAGTCTAGCGCAAAAATAAAAAACAGCCTGGCACTGTTCTAGGCTGGCAGCCAAAATGTTTTGTGTAGCTTGGTTCTGGCGGTGGTTTTCATAAGGCAGAGGGTGTGCCCTCCCAGCATCACTGAAGGAAGGCAAGCAGGCCTTCGTTTTTCCTCCTTATACCATTTCTTTTCCCTCTTTTCTTCACTTGGAACACCACCATAAAAAAAAAAAAAAGAAAAACCAACTTTAAAAAAAAATAGACATTTTCCTCACAACTTTCATGTTTACTTAATAGCATTGTTCCTTATAGAAGGTTGTGCCCAATTCGCCTTTTCCAGCTCTTCTAGAGATTTCAATCTTCGCAGTCGCATTTTTGCCCCACTTTTCACAAAACCCTTCTGAATATTGCTAACTTGGATCATGTTGACATAGTATTTTTGATTGGTAGGAATCTTGTCTTGCTTCACAACTTATTGTTTGAATTGAAATCTTGAGTAATATTTGCTCATATTATATAGATTTTTATGCCAGACTATCTCTTGTTCAGACCAAAAAACTTGCAGTTATTTTCTATTTTAGTCTAAAACTCAGAGTCAGTTCATATCTTTTATAGATAGAATACTCATTTTTGGAATGTTTGACAAATGTAGTTAGGTAAGCAAGTGAGCTTCCATTAAATACAAGGATGTGCATTAAAATTTTTTTCTTCTTAAGTCAAAATGCAAAGTAAAATACAAAAGTGTTTTTAGGTTTCCAATTTTTTCTAAATTTAGTTAGTAACCTACTATTACAAGCAATGTGAGAATGTAACATTATGATTTTTAAGTAATGATTTGAAGAGGAGAGTAGATTTTCACTACGAGCAACCATTCAGTGAAATTTTCTAGAATGTTCCTCGAAATATAAATGTTTTTTGTTGTATTAAGCAAAACAAATGATTCACTTTCAAGTGATCTATTTTAAAAATTAGTGTGTGTTTTTTTTTAAATACACTCAGAGTAAGAATAAATAGGCCAAATGTGTTTTCTTAGGAGGAGATTGATATTTTGATTGACTTTTATTTTTTAAAATTGTCAATGATTTCTGGCAATGAGAAAATTCCTTTGAGAGTAAAAACTCACATAGATTTGTAAGTGTATGACAAATATGACTAAAAAGAAAGTAAACAGTGGTTTGTGTTAGAATGATTAATGTGAAACATTTTTATACATGTTGGAAAATATATCTATTATGGATCCATTAATATAAACATGTGTAATCTAAAGTTTTTTTTTTCCCAGAGATTTTTAAAAAATTTAGAACATGTTTTAAAGTAATTAAAGGATTTGTAAAACAGGTATATGTGAAGTGTGCATTAAATAAACTCACCTGTTATTTTTTCTCATTTTCAAGACAGGTTCAGCAACATATTGGCTCATTACTATAACAAAACAAATACTCAAATTGATTTGTACATATAATGTACATGTATTAAATGCTATGATTCTCAAGTCCCCCCCAATGCTGTTTTTTTTAAACTTGAATGTAAGTGGCTTTTTCTGTAGAGCAGCTCAAATGAATCTGGGTGAGGTGCTTGTTAAGTTATATTAATTACATCTTTAGGTCAACATTTTAAGCCAAAGGATCATGATGCTTTTGAGAAGGAATGCCAGTGAACTGGTTTTTTCCTCTTGGTCCAGTTAAGTGCATGACTGTCTTGAGTCCTTTGTGTCAAGGTCTGATAATATTAGAATTGGAGGTTAAAGATAATACAGACAAAAACTCTTTCTTTCTGTGTGTTCACTTATGTTGAATGTTAATTTTGTATTGAATACTGTTCATTGACTTTAAATACATTTTCTCCATTGGTATAATTTTTATTTGCAGTTAAGTCCTTTATCTGTTTTGTGGTAGGAATATATCTTTTGATGAATTAGAAACTGCAGCATGAAAATTGTGCTATTTATTTGTTTATTCTAATTATACACAGAGGCATAGTAGAAATATATCTAAGTCCTATAATGTTTGAGCAGTGCTTTTGATAAATGTTACTGAGTTTTTCATTTTTGTAAGTAATAAATTCTACAGTTTTGTTTAGATCAGGCTTCATATCAAGGCTGCTATATCTTTATGATTTGATATTATGCAGTTTTCAGAAATTATGATATAGAAGCTTAGTCATTATATTTGTAGAAACATAGAAAAATAAACGTATTAATGGATGCCAGCAAAATTGGATAAATACCAAATTTATTATAACTTTATTATAGTACATACCACATTTATAATTAGAGCCAATATTTTATTTCATTTGAATTTCAGTACAGATTTTAAACCTAACTTCTGGAAAGGGGCTGTTTGATTTCAAATATTGGTAACATGTGATGACAAATAGTGATTTCTAAGTTTCTGTGGTCAAAAATATGAATGATTTTCCTTTAAGCATATAGTACATGCTTCAGTGTAAACGTCAGTAGAGAGTATTGCATGAAAGAGTTTATACTAATTCAGTTGTCTGATTCTCCCCTTAGTATTTGATACATTTTAATTCCCTTTCCCAACATCTTATATCATCATTCTGTAAAATACTTTCACAAGTCTTTCATATGTTTTCTGCGGCATCTCACACTGCTCACTTTTTATCCATGGTACCATATGAATTCCCCCTTTCAGGTTTACGCTGCATATTTTAAGCTGCTGATAATATAAGTAGATTGCAAGGTAAAGTGACATTTAGCTTTTTGAGCTAGTTGTCTCATTTTTAGCATGAGAACAGGTTTGTTTCCCTCCTCTCCCCGTTCTAAATCTTCTCATATTTCCCATTCAAGCAATCTTGCTAACATGGAACAAAGAAATTCAGAGATTTGGCTACAGCAGCAATGAAATGCATCAAAAAGTGGCTACTACAATACAATTTTATTAATGAATGATCTACATTGGTTCCAGCTGTGTCCATGTGATTAGGCCTTCACCAGGCAACAATGGGTATTTCCCTATTGCTTTTATTTGAT